CGAACCCATCGATTGGGGCCTTCGGTGGAGCCCCCTATGGGGCCACAAACCGTGTGAGGGGTGCGCTAAAATGGCGCGAGGCCACCATGCGAACCCTGCCACTGGGACCTTCGGTGGAGCTCCCTGTGGAGCCACGAACCGTGTGAGGGGTGCGACAAAATGGGACGGGGCCGCCATGCGAACCCTGCCACTGGGGCCTTCGGTGGAGCTCCCTGTGGAGCCACGAACCGTGTGAGGGGTGCGGCACAATGACGCGGGGCCGCCATGCGAACCTTGCCACTGAGGCCTTCGGTGGGTGTATCTCCCTATGGGGCCACGAATCGTGTGAGGGGTGCGCCAAAATGGGGCGGGGCCGCCATGCGAACCCTGCCACTGGGGCCTTCGGTGGAGCCCCTTATGGGGCCACGAAAAGCTGAACTGGGTTGGCTAGACGCAGGGAGGAGGGAGGAGGGAGGAGGGGGAGGAGGAGAGGAGGAGGAACGCGGGGCACCGTCTCTTCAAAACGAGGACCCAACACCACAGGGTGGTTGGGAACAAGTCGGAGGCGGACAGAACCCCCACCCTGACACGTCGATTCGTGAATTGCTCATTTTCGGTGCGCCGTGGCCGTCATTTTCCAGGCTTGCGCCCGCCAGGTGTGGGCCCGAGGTCGTTTTCACTAAACCACGTTTTGCTAAAGGGGATTATGTCGACCCCGAACAAGCAAAAAACCCGTAGTGCCAGCACTGTTGGGGGAGGGGAAGAACAGGCTTTCAATTGGTTGTGGCCTCCAGGGGCGCATCTACAGTCAGCGGTTTGAATAAGGAGCACTTGCTTTTCAAAAGGGGCTCGGTCGTTCCTTAGGTTTGCATGCGTTATATGTCGCTCCTTACGCGTTATATATTAGCTATCGTGCCTTAGGCGTTATTCCTTGGAAAAGAGGGGCTTCGTTCCTTATGTCTCATTCCTTAGGTCAGGCTGATGACTGTAGAGTCGAGAGGCCTCTTGCGGGCACGTTCGAGTCTTTGGGCGGTCGTTGAGCCGTCTCGAGCTGGAACTGCGGCCGTGTGCTCGGAAGTCGAGGCCGTCTCGGAGGGTCCTTGGGGCGAGTTCGGCGCATTGTAGAGGGAGTTTGCTGCCGCCTTGCCGCGAGAGGGGGCGCCCCTATAACATGACTGAGTCGGGCCTGTCCCTCTACAGGAGGAGTGTTCAATTATCCTGGCGAAGGACCCAACCATATGCAAACGTGAATACCGCAGGGCAGGTGGGACGAAGCAAGAGGAATTCTCTATGGGGCCACGAACCGTGTGATGGGTGCGCCACAACGGGGCGGGGCCGCCATGCGAACCCGGCCACCAGGGTCCTCGGTGGAGCTCCCCATGGGGCCACGAATCGTGTGAGGGGTGCGCCAAAATGGGGCGGGGCCGCCATGCGAACCCTGCCGCTGGGGCCTTCGGTGGAGCTCCCTATGGGGCCGCGAACCGTGTGAGGGATGCGCCAAAATGGGGCGGGGCCGCCATGCGAACCCTGCCTCTGGGGCCTTCGCTGAAGCTTCCTATGGGGCCACGAACCGTGTGAGGGGTGCGCCAAAATGAGGCGGGGCCGCCATGCGAACTCATCGACTGGGGCCTTCGGTGGAGCTCCCTATGGGGCCACGAACCATGTGCGGCGTGCGCCAAAATGGAGCGGGGCCGCCATGCGAACGCTGCCGCTGGGGCCTTCGGTGGAGCTCCCTATGGGGCCACGAAACGTGTGAGGGGTGTGCCGAAATGGGGCGGGGCCGCCATGCGAACGCTGCCATTGGCGCCTTCGGTGGAGCTCCCTATGGGGCCACGAAGCGTTGTACTGGGTGGGTGAAACGCAGGGAGGAGGGAGGAGTGACGGGAGGGGGGAGGAGAGGGGAGGGGGGAGGAGGGGGAGGAGGAGAGGAGAGGAGGAGGAACGCGGGGCAACGTCTCTTCAAAACGAGGACCCAACACCACAGGACGGTTGGTAAAAATAGTCAAATTATCTTGGCGAAGGACCCAACCATATGAAGTTGTGGGTACCGCAATTGTGAATCTTTTCTCCAATGAAGCTCCCTATGGAGCCACGAAGCGCTGCGCTGGGCGTGGGGGAACGCATGCGGGCGGTAGCACTGGGGCCGTCGGTGAAGCTCCCTACGAGGCCACGAAAAGCTGCACTGGGTGGGTGGAAATACCAAATTAGGCGTGTGGGACGCATGTGGGCGGTCCCATTAGTGGGTTTCGGTGGAGCGCCCCATGGGGCCGCGAAGCGTTGTACTGGGTGGGCGAAAATGCCAAATTTGGTGTGGGGACGCATGCGGGCGGTCCCACTGGGGGCTTCGGTAGGGCTGGGCTCCCTATGGGGCCACGATGCGCTGTACTGGGTTTGTGAAAATGCCAAGTTGGGTGTGGGGGACGCATGCCGACGGTCCCACTGGAGGCTTCGGTGGAGTTCCCGATGGGGCCACGAAGCGCCGTATTGGGTGGGTGAAGATGCCAAATTGTGCGTGGAGGACGCATGCGGGCGGTCCAGCTGGGAGCTTCGGTGGTGCTCCCTATGGGGCCACGAAACGCTGTGCTGGGTGGGTGACAGTGCCAAGTTGGGTGTTGGGGGCGCATGCTGGCGGTCCCACTGGGGGCTTCGGTGGAGCTCCCTATTGGGCCACGAAACGCTGTAGTGGGTGGGTGAAAATGCCAAATTGGATGTGGGGGACGCATGCGGGCGTTCCCACTGGGGGCTTCGGTGGAGCTCCTTATGGGGCTACGAAGCGCTGTACTGGGTGGGCGAAAACACCAAATTGGGTGTGGGGGACGCATGCGGGCGGTCCCACTGGGGGCTTTGGTGGAGCTCCGTGTGGGACAACGAAACGCTGCGGTGGGTGGGCGAAAATGCCAAATAGTGCATGGGGGACGCATGCGGGCTGTCCCACTGGGGGCTTCGGTGGAGCTCCATATGGGGCAACGAAGCGCTGTGATGGGTGGGTGACAATGCCAAGTTGGGTGCGGGGGGCGCATGCGGGCGGTCCCGCTGGCGGCTTCGGTGGGGCTCCCTGTGGTGCCACGAAACGGTGTATTGGGCGGGTGCAAATGCCAAATTGTGCATGGGGGACGCATGCGGGCGGCCCCACTGGGGGCTTCGGTGCGGCTGAGCTCCCTATGGGGCCACGAAGCGCCGTACTGGGTTTGTGAAAATGCCAGGTTGGGTGCGGGGGACGCATGCGGACGGTCCCACTGGAGGCTTCGGTGGAGCTCCCTGTGGGGGGCGCATGCGGGCGGTCCGGTCCAGCTGGGGGCTTCGGTGGAGCTCCCTATGGGGTCACGAAGCGCTGTGCTGGGTGGGTGAAAACGCCAAATTGGCCGAGGGGGACGCATGTGGGCGGTACCAGTGGGGGCTGCTGGAGCTCCGTATGGGGCCACGAAGCGCTGTACTGGGTGGGTGACAATGCCAAGTTGGGTGTGGCGGACGCATGCGGGCGGACCAGCTGGGGGCTTCGGTGGAGCTCCCGATGGGGGCCACGAGACGCTGTATTGGGTATGCGAAAATGCCAAATTTGGTGTGGGGGACGCATGCGGGCGGACCAGCTGTGGGGCTTCGGTGGAGCTCCCGATGGGGGCCACGAGACGCTGTGCTGGGTGGGTGACAGTGCCAAATTGGGCATGGGGGACGCATGCGGGCGGTCTCACTGGGGGCTTCGGTGGAGCTCCCTATTGGGTCACGAAGCGCTGTACTCGGTGGGTGACAGTGCCAAATTGTGCGTGGGGGATGCATGCGGGCGGTCCCACTGGGGGCTTCGGTGGAGCTCCCTATGGGGCCACGAAGCGCTGTACTGGGCGGGTGAAAATGCCAAGTTGTGCGTGGGGGACTCATGCGGGCGGTCCAGCTGGGGGCTTCGGTGGTGCTCCCTATGGGGCCACGAAACGCTGTGCTGGGTGGGTGACAGTGCCAAGTTGGGTGTTGGGGGCGCATGCGGGCGGTCCCACTGGGGGCTTCGGTGGAGCTCCCTATTGGGCCACGAAACGCTGCGGTGGGTGGGTGAAAATGCCAAATTGGGTGTGGGGGACGCATGCGGGCGTTCCCACTGGGGGCTTCGGTGGAGCTGCCCATGGGGCCACGAAGCGCTGTGTTGGGTGGGTGAAAATGCCAAATTGGGTGTGGGGGGCTCATGCGGGCGGTCCCACTGGGGGGTTCGGTGGAGCTCCCTATGGGGCCACGAAGCGTTGTGCTGGGTGGGTGAAACGCGTGGAAGAAGCAGGAGGGAGGGGAGGAGGTGGAGGAGAGGAGGAGAAGAGGACAGGAACGCGGGGACCGTCTCTTCAAAACGAAGACCCAGCACCACAGCATGGTTGGGATAAATAGTCTGGGGACGATGTTTTGATTTGTTTGTGCTATGATGTTTGAGCATTGTTTGCGTATTTTTTTATTTTTCGTCCAACATCCGCCTGTAGGGGGACACGCCCGACCTAATACTAGTCCTCGGATGGCTAGCAGGCAGTACAGGACGCCTCAACGTGTCGAAGGCGCGGTGGCGGAGTGGGCCTTGATGTAGCAGCAGTCTTGGGTCATCTTGCTGGCCTCGAGGGGCCCAGCCATCTGAGAGTGCAGGGCACGGGAAGTGCAGTGACGAGCTGCCCCTTTCGGCGGCGAGCAACGGGGGGACGTGAGAAGGGGAAGGCCTTCCCAGAAGGCGGCGGGGCTTTCAGAAGCCCTCGCGCCTTCTGAGAGGTTTGCCGTGTCTTCGGGGAAGGCTCAGAAAACTTCTCACAGAAGGCCGGGGGGCTTCCGAGCCTTCTGAGGGGGCCGCCACTTTTCACTTCCCCCCTGGGCTCGCCGCCGATCCTTCTCTCAAACGGCATTGCGGACCGTCGGGGAGGAGAGCGAGGCAGAGGTGGACGGCCCAGCATCTGGCACGCCCTGCCAAGTCCTGGCGGACGGGAGCGGGCGGCTCGGGGCCAGAGTGAGAAACGAGGAAGGATTTGGCATCGCTCGGACGTGTGCATGTGTTCTCGGCGAGGGCCATGGACAGGCCAGCCACAACTGGGGGAGCTGTGGTCCTTACCCCCCTGGGGGGCCCATCGATTTTGACACCCCTCTCGAGAGATCGTCGATGCGATGAGTTCCCCCAGAGGGGTAAGGACCACAGCTCCCCCAGTGATGGCTGGAGGAGCATCCTGGCTCACCCGGGAGAGCAGCGCAGCGCACGCACGAAGCCAACAGACGGCACGGGGAACGGACGCCCGAGGGGGTGGCCAGACGGCGTGCGCAGAGGGGCGCCCCCCTGCCCGCCTCACCCCGCGCTGCGCCGCGCGGTGGCGGGGCTGCTGTCGGAGCACTGGCCGCGGGCGGCGCGGGAGCTGCGCGCCGCTGCGCCCGGAGCGGGCGAGCCGGAGGCTGCCGCGGAGGTCGGGCGGCCGCTGCGCGCGGCGGCCGACGACGTCGAGGGCGCGGCCGCCGCGCTGGAGCGGGGCGACTGGGCGCGGTGCGCCGAGGCGGCGCAGGCCGCGCGCGGCGCCGCGTGGGGCGCGTTCTCGCGGGGCGGCGGCTGGCGGAGGCCCTGCGACAAGGAGCTCTTCATGGTCGCGGAGCTGCTGCTCGCCCTCGCGGCGCACGCGCGCGGCGACGCGGCTGGGGCCGTGCGGCGGGCGGACGCGGCCTTCGTCTTCGCGGCGCCCGGCGCCTTCCGGGAGGCGGCCGTGCTCTTCGTGCAGTGGCTAGACGGCCAGGCGGCCCGCGGCGCGGCGGAGGCGCTGGGCGCGCCGGGGCTCGGCGATCTCGGCTTCGTCGCCGCGCCCGCCTGGGCGCGGCAGCGACCGCCGCTGCCCGCCGGCGTGGGCTCAGTTGACGGGCCCGTTTTCCACCGCCACCACCATGTGTTGGAGGGGGGAACGAGGGAGGAGGAGGAGGAGGAGGAGGAGGAGGAGGAGGAGGAGGAGGAGGAGGAGGAGGGCGCAGGAGGGCGGAGGAGGGCGGAGGAGGAGGAGGAGGAGGAGGAGGAGGAGGAGGAGGAGGAGGAGGAGGGCGGAGGAGGGCGGAGGAGGAGGAGAAGGAGGAGGAGGAGGAGGAGGAGGAAGAGGAGGAGGAGGAGGAGGAGGAGGAGGACCATTCCTCCAACTTGTGGTGGTGGTGGTGGTGGAAAAGTAGGCCCACCACCAGTGCCGCGCGTCGAGGCGTCCGAGGGCGGCCGGCTCCGGGCGATGGCAGAGGCGGGGGAGCCCTTCGTCGTGGCCGGCGCGCTCGAGGCCTGGCCGGCGCGCTCGAAGTGGGCATCGCTGGCCAGCGTGGACCGGCTCATAGGCCACCGGCTGGTGCCGGTGGAGGTGGGCGCCGCCGTGGGCGGGGCTGGCTGGCGAGAGGAGTTGATGCCCGCCGGGCGGCTGCTGCGCGACTACCTGGCGCCGAGCTGTGCGGAGTGTTCCGCGGCGGAGGGCGCAGAGGCCGCGGGCGCGGCGGTGGCCTACCTCGCGCAGCACGAGCTGCTGGAGCAGTGCCCCGTGCTGCGCGGTGACGTGGCGGCCCCCGACCTCTTCAGGTCGATCTTCGGGCCGCCCGCTCGCGCGAACGTGTGGCTCGGGACGCGGGGGACCGTCACGCCCTGCCACTGGGACTCCTACAACAACTGCCTGGCGCAGGTGCAGGGCTCCAAGCGCGCCGTGCTGCTGCCCCCAGCGGCGGGGCCCTGTCTGTACGCGGCCGAGTCCGAGGGCGGCGTCGCGGCGCAGGGCAACGTCTCCTCCGTGGACGTGGAGGCCCCCGACCTCGAGAGGTTCCCCGCCTACGCCGGCGCCAGGTCTCGGAGGGGGGGGCCCTCGGAGGGGCCCCTCGGAGTTGAGGCAACGGCAGTCGTCGCGGCGGGAGGCAGCTCGGAAAGCTCGTGCGTTCGGACCCCGGGAGGGGTCCAGGGACCGATTGTTTGAGCTTCGGGGGTTCAAGGATGGGGTCCTGAGGGATGGGGGCCCTGAGGACGAGGTTCCTCAGACCACGTAAATCCACCCTTGGATCCCTTCGTATCCTCGGGACTTCATCTCTCAGGACCCCATCTCTGAGCTACCGAGAGCTGCTGTTGTCTCAACTCGCTCGGCTCCGAAGGTCGGTGTCAGCGGAGCTGGAGCCCGGGGACGCCCTGTTCATTCCCCGCGGCTGGTGGCACCAGATCCGGGCGCTGAGCCCCTCGATATCCGTGAACTTCTGGTTCTGACTGCCCCCGCGCGGGCCGCGCAGGCCTGCCCAGCTTCCGGACGTGGTGTCTCCTCACGCCCTTTGTCCTCCGTGCGCCTCCTCCCCCCTCCTCCTCCTCCTCCTCCTCCTCCTCCTCCTCCTCCTCCTCCTCCTCCTCCTCCTCCTCCTCCTCCTCCTCGCGCTCTCCCTCTCCATCCTCAGCCTCCTCCTCCTCGGGCTCTCCCTCTCCCTCCTCAGCCTCCTCAGCCTTCTCTTCCTCGTCCTGCTTTGACGCCATCGGGAGGAAAATTAATCCTTTGACGCGTGCGCGTCCTCCTGGCCTTCCTCGTGATCCTCGCCCTGTCCCTGCCGAGTGCGCCCCGGGACGTGCGCCCGGAGAGAGATCCGCACGAATATCCAAGCGATTGGCAGCTTAGGAGGGCCTTGCTGGATTGAACGATTATGGCCACGTGTGGAGCCAAGGCAGTCGCTAAGAAGGATACGCAATCGCGCAGACCAGCTGCTCATACATAGTGTTGGCGTGCTGTATCCGCTGTACATGCGCACGACGATGTGGCTTGCTTGCTCAGTCTAACAATGCGCATGACTGCAACCTCGTGGTCTTCGCTTGCGCGCGCTTCCACGTTTCTTGGGATTGGTTATACGCGTGCAACACATGTGTCTTACTATGCGGTACCCCGAGATAACATAGGGTTGTGTCCAACGTTGTATGAACGAGCTATTGATGCACCGTCCATACACGCACACTGCATTTATGTGCATATTTTCAGATGTTTGTATGAGTGCCTACATGCTTGTATACACATATAAATCTGTGTGCATATACGTGTATCGCTGCTGATACACATGCACTTCATGTACAAGGAGTCTGCTCATGAGCAGCAGCGGATGTTACCACTTCCATACTCTTACACCTTGCGATGCCGATCGGGGTCGCGACCAGAGCCGCCCGACCATCGGCGCCTCTCATACCCGCACGCGGTGGCCACCAGCCGCGGCGTCGAGCCGAACTGGTTGGATTCGGTTTCGCACGGGGGACTAGCTGCACGTAGCGTTTGGCGCGAAACTAGCTGCATGCAGCTATTTTCGAGCTAGCTGCAGCTAGTCTGCCACGCGACTAGCTCTGTGAGGCGGCCTCGCCGACGGCGGGTCGCTCGGCATGCGAACTTGGGCCGACGGCGTGTGCTCGGATCTCGGGCAATGCTGCTCCAGTGCTCCGAGTAGCTGCGAAGCCTCCAAGTCCCGTTTCATGCTAGCTCATTCCCAGCCCCGCCCGTTCCTATCCCCCCCCCCTTCGTCTTGCTCGAATGAGTAGGTTCGCTCCGTTCGAGAGCGCGGGGGGGTGGCCTGGCCGTGGAGCCGCGCGCCACGGATGCCGACGACGCGCTGGGCCCTCTGGGGGCGGCGGGCGTTCTGGGAGGGTCCCCGAGAAGAGGGCCGCCTGGGCGCGCCCGGGGATCAGCCCAGCCGGGTCACCGCGGGGCGGTCCAGCCTTGGACATTTCTGGTCTCTTCGGGGGGCCGACGGGCTGGGCTTAGGGAAACAAAAAGTGGCATAAACATTGAAATCTCGGAGGTCCGCGCGGATTTCTCGGATCGGCGCTGGGGCCCCCCGGCGGCGCCTCCGGCGCCGCCTCTGGCGCGCTCCGCGCGCCAGGGAGGGGGGTCCAGCGCCGATCCGAGAAATCCGCGCGGACCTCCGAGTTTTTATGCTTATGCCACTGTTTGTTCCCCTAGGGTTGTGCCGAAGATCAGACTACCTAAGATCTGGCACGCCGTGCACCCCTGTGGCAAGCCACAGGGGGCGGCGGATCGAAAAAACGCCTGCGGCGAATCACCGCCGCCCCCTGCTTGTCGAGAGGGCCTACCACGTGGCCGACCGTTGCGGCCGGAGCTCGGCCAGAGCTCGGCCAAGCTATCGGCCAGCCAAAATCGCAAAGGACAACCGATGATTTGGGCCTCTTCGGGCCTTCCTGGAGGTCCTCTTAGAGGCTTGGATCGTCTTGGAGGCCTCTTGGGACGTCGTGAGCCATCTTGAGGCCATCTTGGGCCATGTGTTTGGGGCACCTTCGCCCACCTTGGAGATATCTTGGGGCCATCTGGGCACTCTTGGGGCCATCGTAGCCGTCTTGGATACCGTCTTAGCCGTCTTGGAGGATTTGGGGGCCGTCGGGAGCGGGAAGACCAACGACCTGGGACGTTTACGGGTCCTTATTACGTTGCCGGCATTGAGGGCGCCCACCTTAGCAGTGGGCGACTTCAGTGTACGATTTGTCTTGTGTGTAACTCCAATTCGCCCGCTCCTTCGTCCTCCTCCTCCTCCCCCCCCTCCCGCTCACCTCATTTGCCTCCTGCGTCACAGTCGTGATGCGCTCCGTCTTTCTGCATCACAGTCGAGCCTCTGTGTGCTCGCAGTCCCTCTGCAAGGTGTTCCTTGCATTGTCACGAAGAGCTTTCAATAGTGCATTCTTCCGCCCGCGCGTCCTTCCGTATGCTCGGCTCAGCCAGCCAGCCAGGCGCGTTGGGCCGAAGGTCTTGAAGGACCAACAACTCCCCAAAGTTTGGCACGCCGTGAACCCCAGTGGCAAGCCAACTGGGGGCGGCGGATCGAACACGCCTACGGCGAATCACCGCCGCCCCCTGCCCTTTCGGAAGCGCCTATGTGGCCGAACGTTGTGGCCAGAGGCCTGCCAAGCTATCGGACCATATGTTCCCCGAATCGGTTCGGAAAGCTTTCGGGGAACACGTGGGGGAAGCTGAACACGAAGAGGAAGAGGAAGAGGCCTCTTGGGCCATCTTGAGCCGTCGGAATGGCGAGAAGAAACAAATGCCAACATCCTTGAAACACTTAGGGAAAATGCATGATTTTGGTTTCTTCGGGCCCTTCTGGAGGACCTCCTGGAGGCCTCTTGGGCCGTGTTGGAGGCCTCTTGGGGGCCTCTTGGGGGCCTCTTGGGCCGTCTTGGGCAATATTGACGCCATGTTAGGCCGTCTTGGAGGCAACTTGGGCCGTCTTGGAGGCATCTTGGGGGGCGAAGCTATCGGACCATGCGTTCCCCGAATCGGTTTGGAAGGCCTTCGGGGAACACGGGGGGAGGAAGAGGAAGAGGAGGAGAAGGAGGAAAAAGGAAAAGGGGGAGTATGCCTCTTCGGAGCCTCTTGAGGCACTCTTGGGCTCGATTGGGCCATCTTGGGACCGTCTTGGAGGCCATGTTGGGGGCCTTTTTGGGACGTCTCGGGAGCTTCTTTGGCCGTCTTAGGGCGTTCCAGGCCCGTCTGACGCCGTCGGGAGCCGTCTTGGGGTGTCTCCCTGGGCCGACTTGGGGCCCTCTTGGGGCGCGTCGGGGCGGTCTTGGAGGCCATCTTGGGCGTCTTGGAGGCCTCTTGGCCTGTCTTGGGGCCCTCTTGGGGCCGTCTTGGGGGCCTCTTGCGCCGTCATGGGGCCATCTTGGAGGCCTCGTGGACGACCTTGGGGCGATCTTGGGGGCCTCTTGGGCCGTCTTGAGCCGTCGGAATGCCGAGAAGAAGCAACTGCCAACATCCTTTAAAAACCAAAGGAAAACACATGATTTTGGCCTCTTCGGGCCCTCCTGGAGGACCTTGGAGACCTCTTGGGTCGTGTTGGGCCGTCTTGGAGGCTTCTTGGGCGAAATTGGAGGTATCTTGGACTCTATTGGGCCGTCTTGGAGGCCGTCTTGGACCATCTTGGGCGGACTTGGAGGCCATGTTGGGCCAACGTGGCCATCTTGGAGGCCATCTTGAGCAGTCTTGGAGGATTTTTCTGGGATTTAGATCCCTTTCGGGTGGCCGGCGGGACGGGCCGAAGCCCCAGGGGGAGTTTTTTTTTGAAAAAGAACAAAGCCAAAGCCGAAAGGATCCAGCACGCCAGGCACCCCTGTGTTGAATCAACAAGGGGCGGCGGATCTAGTGGCCTTTGGCCCATCCCGCCACTATGCCTGGGTTGTCAGTCAGAAGCCCCTTGGATGCTTGTGAGGATTTGTTGGGAGAACCCTCGGAAGCCTTTTGGAGCCGGTTTTGGGGGTGCTGGGGGGCGTCTCGGGTGCCTCTTGGGGTCGTCTAGCGGCTCGATCTGAGCCTCTCGGGGCCTCTTGGTGGCCTCTTGGGTGCCTCTTGGGGTCTCTTGGGGAGCGCCTCGGGGGCCTCTGGGGGGATCCTGGGGCCATTTTGGGGTGGAGGGCTCAAATTGCCAGCTCGTGGTCCCCCTCATGGGCCCCATCTTGGGGCTGTCTTGGGAGCCTCTTGGGCCCCTTTTGGGGGTGCTCGGGCCGTTTTGGGGCGATCTTGGGTGCCCTTAAACCAAAAAGGCGGTAATGCTAACAGTATACAAGACCAGTGGATTTTTGACGCTTTGGGCCTCTTGGGCCGCCCTCTGGGGCCTCCAAGACGGCCCAGGAGACGTCCAGGAGTGCTCCAGGACGATCCTCGGGGCCATCTTTGGCCATTTTGGACATGAATGTCCCGATCGACGCGCTCTCGGCCTTCGGAAAAGTCACGCGAGCCGCTCCCACGAGCGCCTGGGAGCGCCCCGAATTGTGGGCTGTGGAAAACGAACATCCACAGTGTTCAAGACAGACAAGTCGAAGGGACTTGAGGACACTCCCACTTGCGCCGGCAGAGGCAAGGCCACCAGCACGCCTACCTCTTTTCACCCTCTACTTGAGGACACTCCAACTCGTGCCTCAGGGCACGGTGGCAGCTACTGAAAGCCCTGAGCGGGGTGCTGCTCGCACCATGTCAAGCGAGGGATAACTCTCCAGCAGCTCGCACTGCAGACCAGGGCGCGCTCCAGCTCCCAATCTGCACGAAGGGACAGCATTCCAGCAGCCGACGGCGTGCGCTCCAGCACCAGCTCTTTCGAGCAGCAACGTTCCAGCAGCCCGCGGCGCGCGCTCCAGCATTGCATGGTTTACCGGGTGCGAGCGTTCGTCCAGCCCGCGGCGTGTGATCCAGCCCTGCATCTTTCACCGAGCGCAGGCGTGCGAACCTGGGCCTCAACCAACGCAGACGAGCCCAGTTGGTCAAAGCTCTCATTCGCAAACTGTTCCACTGACTGGTTTGTCACGTTGTCCACTCCAGAACCCGGGCACTTGGCTTCACGGCACAGACCCACAGATTACCCCAGCCAGTGCCCCCCAGGATGAAATGTATTGTTTGCGCCCCCGCGCTGTCTAGCCCGCCATGGCTACTGGTTCCCGATCGTGGCGCGCCGTACCGTGATAAGTGATATGGCTTACGATTGTCCACTTGCAAGCCAGGTGCCCTGGCAGAAGTTTTTTTATCGGGTGCGGAGGCGGCCGCCTCCTCCAAGTTGTCAAACATGCATGCCCGCGTGGGCCCGGTCCTCAGGCGTCGGCACACTGCACACCTCACTTCGCCGACTTGGAAACTCCATAGCCACTTGGTCTCAAGGGACCCTGGGGTCAATCGTGCCTTTGTTTGTACCTGCTTGCAGCTTTGCTCTTTTAGCCAGCGAGGCCCATGTCGCGTGGTCGTTCGCCGTCGCCTGCGACGGCGCCATCTGTGCCAAGCCGTGGAATGTCACCAGAGCCCTACTACGGCCCTGTCGACGCGCCCCTGCCGTTGCTGATCGACCTGCCCCCGCTGGCGCAGCAGTGGCCCGCCGCCCCCGTTCTGACACATGTGATGTACCCGCTGGTCAATGTGCGAACGATCGCGTGTGCCAAGTGCTCGGCCAGTGCCCTGGCCGACCTCGACATCGTGCACGCGCTCGCGGTGGCGCCGGAGCGCCAGAGGCAGTTTAGGAAGGCAGCGCAGCTCTCCCTCGTGGCATTCATGAAGCCCGCTGGCGAGAACAGAGAGCGCCTGAAGTCGGAGATGGGCGGCTCCATGGCGCCTATTCCTGGTCTATCTGCTCCGAGCCACGCAAAGGACTGGCCGCGCAACTACGTGCTCGCAGGGTCGGACGTGAACATCTTCGTGCAGGGCGGCGTTGACAGCGCCGTGGAGAAGTTGCAGCTAAACGACAAGATAAACGGCTTCCAGCTGTTGCAGTGCAAGAGGCTGCAGAACCTCGACGTGTTGCATTGCACCTTCTCGTACAACAGTGTCGACTTCGAGCACGTGCCAGAGTTCCAGTCTGAAATCATACTCGTCAGCACGGACGACGAGATGAAGTACCTAATGGGCCGACAGGAAGCCTTCCGCAAGGTGTTGCGAGACCAGCGTTTCCAAATGGAGGTATGTTTTGGCGACGCCGGCATGCTCGCGTTCGACGCCTACATTTACCTCCTGAAGGTCTTCGCCAAAACTGTGCCAGAGGGTGCGCTGTCCTCCTTCCAGGCGGTGTCGTTGGGTCTCTTCGTGCTCCAGCTGGGGCTTTACAAGCATGTCACTGGCACGGCCGCGCAGCCCACAGCACTACTCCTCTTCGAGTGCTTCCTCCGATGGTGCGGCGTGTACTTTAGCAGCCAGCGCCAGTGTAACAGCGACCAGAAGTTCAAGAACTACAGATTCAGCGCCCTGGACTTATCCACTGGCAGACTCGTGTTGCGGACCAGGGTCCAGACTAAATGTGAGGCCTACTTCGTGGCGGACGAGGTACACGCCTTGCGTACGCATTCAGCGGACAGGCTGAACATCATTGGGTCGATCAGCCCAGAGTTGATCCACGACATTGCACAGACGGCATTGGTGTCGCGTCTGAGTCTCGCCGGCGGCGAGCTGGTGTGCGGCTGACTTGTGAGCACAATTCTGCTACTTCTGCTTTCAGGCCTTTTTGCTCGTTTCAAGGGGGCCTCCCACAGCTCGTAGCAGAGGTGTCTCTGGGAGTCGTAAGGGGCTCGCTCCTAGGCACTAGTTTCGGCCAGCCGCAAAACGGCGAAGCCCCAATATTATAAGCCAGCCGCACGGCGGCGGGGCCCGCATCTTTGCTTTCAGGCCACTTCGGGCAGACTTTACATTTGAGTCTGACGGCCTGCTATAAGAGCTACTTGCAGCAGCCTCTCTTCATGACGCATCATGCTGGGGAAAAATAGTCGTGTTTGAAAGTCGTCCTTGTCGCCAGACGATGGGTCACACAGCCGCGAGCCGACCCATGCTTGAATGCACCCGTGGAGTCCCAGCAGAAATCGCATTGACGAACCCGCTTAGGGCGACGAAGTTTCGAAGCAACCCGCGTTGGGCGACAATACCCAACGATTCGGAGGCATGATGTTGCCGCCCGTGTTTGCATTCAACAAACGCCGTGTATCTACTTGGGGGGGCTGAAGACTGGCCGCCACATCGGTCCACGGAGGTCGAAATGTCCAACTAATTTCAGCATGTTGGGTGAAGATGGTAATTGTATGGTTGCTGTCGCTGTTTTAGAATATCGTGACGAGATGGGACAGCATGTAGTTCACGATCGTTGGGGGATGCCGTGCCAGCGCCAGAAAAACATCTGCCCAGCTCGCACACTTAGCAGCCAGACTCGTTTGGCGAGCATCGCTTAGAGCATATTGTGCGAGCAAGAATCGTTATATCATGTTGCGGAAACTAGAGTCATAGGTCATATTATTCAGCGCATGTTGCAGCGTTGTTGACGGTGGTATGTCGAACATGCCGAAGCATTGTTGTGCCGTGGGTTTCGGCAAGAGTTCGAGCCAGTTGCGGTGGCATTGATCACAGCATGCGTACATGTATGTATGTATACATATATATATGTATACATACATACCGTGTGGACCTATGTACACATACACGCTTAGATGGCAGTATCGAAGACGCTTACGGCGAATCACCGCCACCCCCTGCCTGTTGGAATCGCCCATGTGGCCGAGCGTTGTGGCACGAGGTCTGCCAAGCTATCGGACCATCTGCTCCCCAAGCCGTTGTGTAAACCCTTCGGGGAACACTTGTGGGAGGATGGCGGGGAAGATCAGGAGGAGGAGGATGATGAGGAGGAGGAGTAGGAGGAAGGAAGAGGAGGAGAAGGAGGAGGAAACATCTTGGGAGCCTTTGGGGGCACTCTTGGGGCCTCCTGGGAGCTTCCTGGGAGCATTTTGGGTGCGTCTTGGGGGCCTCCTTGGGCCTCCTGGGGGCCTTCAGGGGCTTCTCGTGGGCCTCTTTGGCCGTCTTAGAGCATTCCTGGCCCATCTGACGCCGTCAGAAGCCGTCTTGGGTGCCTCTCTGGCCTCACAACGTGACAAGGCATGAAGAAGGTGGCGGCTAACAACGTGAGGCTCTCCAACGGCTAGATGGCGTCTGCAGGAGCAGAGTGCGACGCTAGATGGCAGGAGCATTTCGCAGCGGTCACGGGCGGACAGGTGTGTCCTGACCCAGCTGCTCGCGAGTGTCCGCTTTCGGCGCCCGTCGGATTCCGCACAACACCGAGCTCCACGCTCGCCGCTAATCTGGCCCTCCCCTCTTTCAAGGGGGTCGGTCCCGACAGCATCCCCGCCGAGTTCCTGAAGGCTGGCGGGGGCCCGTTGGCCATCGCCCATAACAAATTGCAGAATCGGATCGGTGAGAGGGGCGAATGGCCCTGGCAGTGGCAGGGCGGCCGCTGCGTCCCGATCCTTAAAGGTAAGGGCCCACGGGACGACTGCGACGAGTACCGTGGTCTACTCCTCGCCGACCACATGTCCAAGTCCTTTGTCGGTCAGATTAAGGACAGGGTCGACGAGCACTACAACGACGGCATTTCACAGCACCAGTACGGTGCAGTGCCGCGCCGTGGCGCGGACATGGCTGCCCACGTTATCCGTTCTTTGATCGACCGTGCTCATCTCATGAAGTATTCGATTTTCGTATTGTTCGTCGACTTGTCGAAGGCGTTCGACAAGATCTGTCGTGAACTCGTTCTGGGGTGACCTCACCGTGTTTCTGCTGACCGCGAGAGCCGAGTCGGACACCTACGTGCCATGGACATCCTTGAGCATGCCGCCAATCACATTTACGAGTATATCGACAAGCATGGGCCTATCCTTCGCCAGTGGGGCGTTAGCAATGCCACGATCGCCATGCTGTCAACTCTCCATGACGGCAGTTGGTTCTCGTTTGGAGATCTCGAGTCCGTTGTGCGATACGGACTTGGTGGCCGCCAAGGCTGCAAGGTAGGGGCGGCGATTTTTAATGCAGCGTATGATATATCGTTATTGCTTGTTCGCCAGTGGCTTGAGCAGGCCGGGGTTGCAATTCGATTGCGTATTTTTTCGGAGGCGTTCTTTTCAAGGGAGGTTCCGAGGAGGATGCGGGGTAAGCAGGCGCCTCCAGGGCAGCCCCCCCAGACAGTAACTGACGCTGCGTTTATTGACGACGAACGCATCGTCACAATGGCTCCTACTGCTGCGCGACTGCGTGCTGCCATGGACACAGTTGTAGTTGCGCTGGCTATAGTATTTTCGGATTTCGGGCTCAATATTAATTGGAGCCCTGGAAACACGGAAGGAATGGTGCACGTTATGGGGTACGGGGCGGGACCCATGCTTCGCGCTCTCACCCACCCCGACGGCCGTTACCTCCACGCTCCTTCCGCGAAGGGCCTCCCAGCGCAGAAATTAATTTTAGTTGATCGGTACAAACATATGGGCGGAATCGTCCAGATCGATCGGGGTTTAGGTGTCGACGCGAGGCACAAGGCTCAGCAGGCCCTCCATGCGTATGGCCCCATAGCCCGCCGAGTCTTTGGGAGCCCCGTCGTGTGCGACTGGCTGAAGTTCTCATTGTTGCAGTCGCTGATTCTTAGCTGCCTCCTCTATTCTGCTCACATTGTAGCGCCGACCAGAGGGTATATACGCACGCTCCAAAGCCCCGACATGCGGGTGCTGAGGAAAATGTGCGACGACAGTCGATACCGGAAGCCATATTTTTCTGACCTAGAAGTCCGACGTCGGATGCAGCAGCCGTCGATCGATTGCATTTTGCGGCGCGCTAGGCTCAGGCACGGCGCCCGGCTTGTAAGAAACAGGCCTGCCGCTCTTTTCGCCCTCCTGGGCGATAGACCCCAGGCCAACTCGAGGGCCCGAGGGGGGCGTGACCGCGTCGAGCCCCTGCCGCGGGTCGATTTTTTCATCAGCGACCTCGCTTGGCTTAGGGAGCATTCGTGTGTGCCTGCTTTCTGGGACCTTCCTGATCCAGCTGTCTGCGCCGAGCCTTGGTGCGAGCAGATGGCTTGTGCCGAGTGGGGTGATCGCGTCCCGCCGATCTTTTTCGTCGGGTCTATCGCCGATCCCCCTTCGAAGTGTGGCCCCGCCCCGCTCCAACCTTTTGAGTGCGAGGTGTGTCATGCCTCATTTGCAACATATTGTGCGCTCGCATCGCACCATACGTCAGCACATAAGAAGCGCAGAGCATTTAACGAGTACGTGGGTGATACGTCCACTTGTCCGGTGTGCCAGCATGTGTACTCTTTTTTCGTCTACACTTCCTCAAGAATCTTGCCAGGAGTAGGTGTGGACCTCAACTAATTGGTGACAGCTTCAGAAAGCCGCCACTAGCGGAACGGCTGCGAGCAGAAGCTCGTGACCGTGCCCTCCTTGTCCACGCCCGGTCTATGGGCCGAAACTGGCTCAAAAAAGGCGACCGCCTACCGAGGTCGCGCTAGTTAGTGTCTTTTCGTTGTCTCATCCGTTATACTTGCGCCTGCCATGCCTCGGGAAAGAATAAAGGGCCGATTTGGGGCCCTTTTGGGGTGCTCCAGGGCCGTCTTGGAGGCCATCTTGGGCGTCTTGGAGGCCTCTTGTGCCGTCTTGGAGCCATCGTGGGGCCGTCTTGGGGATATCTTGGGCCGTTCGGGGGCCATCTTGCAGGCCTCTTGGGCGATCTTGGGGCGATCTTTGGGGGCTCTTGCGCCGTCGCGGGCCGTTGGAAAACCGAACAGAAGGACATGCCCAAATCCTTGAAACACAAACAGCTAACCAATGATGTTGTCCTCTTCGGGCCTTCTTGGAGGCTTTTCTGGAGGCCCTCTTGGAGGCCTCTTGAGCCGTCTTGGAGACCTCTTGGGGGCCCATAGGGCCGTTTTGGTCCATCTTGGAGCCATCTTGGACCGTCTTGGCGGCCTCCTGGCCCGTCTAACGCCGTCGGGTGCCGTTTTGGGGTGTCTCTCTGGGCCGACTTGGGGCCCTTTTGGGGTGCTCCAGGGCCGTCTTGGAGGCCATCTTGGGCGTCTTGGAGGCCTCTTGTGCCGTCTTGGAGCCATCGTGGGGCCGTCTTGGGTGCTTCCTGGGCCCTTCTGGGGCCATCTTGGAGGCCTCTTTGGGCGATCTTGGGGCGATCTTTGGGGGCTCTTGCGCCGTTTCGGGCCGGCTGGAAAGAAGCACGCGCCCCACCGGTGGCAAATCAAGAATTTTGGCCTATTCGGGCCTTCCTGGAGGCATTCCTGGAGGCCTTCTTGGAGGCCCATTGGGCTGTCTTGGGGACCTCTCGGGGGTCCTTTGCGCCGTCTTGGGCCATCTTGGAGCCATCTTAGCCCGTCTTGGTGGTCTCCTGGCCCGTCTGACGCCGTCGGGAGCTGTTTAGGGGGCCTTTCCTGGGCCGACTTGAGGCGTTTTTGGGGTGCTCCAGGGCCGTCTTGGAGGCCATCTTGGGCGTCGTTGATGCTTCCTAGGCCGCCTTGGGGCCTCGGGGGCCTCTTGGGCCATTATGGGGCCATCTTGGATGCTGGACATTTGCCCGTTCGCGCTCAGATTGTGGGGCGTCTCAAGCGAAACGCTGATGCTGTTTCCCCCAGCTTTTTTCGTTTTGAGAGTTCCATGATCACCGCGACGTAGCAGGCGCAGCATTTGAGCATCCCCAAGGGGACCTGCCAGTGGAGACACAGTCATGCTTAGACCTACTTGCAATCAGACCCAGTTTTTTCTCTATCAGCTGTAGGCAATGCCACTCACGCTCAAACTCGGCCACTTCAGACACTCAAAGGGATTGTGGTACAGCAGATATGCACATATGGGGATCCTGGCGTCGAGATTATTATACTGGGATTCCACGCTTGTAGGGTTCCACTTGCGCAGAATTTCGCGCATATGGTGTTCCACACTTCTCACGAATGAATTGGTTGGTGCCCACACGACGGCTTCACACTGCGACCTTCCGTTTCAAATCAAGATAGCATGGTTTGGTCACAGAGTATCGGGTCGTTCTTGGTAGTAGCATCGGCGTGCCACCTTGCCGGCATGGCTGTGCAGGTTGTCTCCACTGCCATCCTGTATCAAGTTATTTTCAGCCCGAAGTTGAAGATGCAAGTGGCTTAATCCATTCCGCCGAGCCCCAGAAAGAGTCAGAATTTGCGGCGATCGTGAAAGTTATCGAAGACGCCTGCGGCGAACCACCGCCACCCCCTGCCCCTTTGGAAGCGCCTCTGTGGCCGACAGCTGGGCCAGAGTTTGGCCAAGCTATCGGGCCAGTTGTTCCCCTAGTCGGTTTGGAAAGACTTCGGGGAACGCATGGGGGAGCAAGAAGAGGAGGAGGAGGAGGAGGAGGAGGACGAGGAAAAAAGAGGAGGATGAGGAGGAGGAGGAGGAGGAGGAGGAGGCCTCTTGGGCGCCTCTTGGGGCACTCCTGGGGCCTCCTGGAAGCTTCCCGGGGGCCTCTCGGAGGGTTTTGGGGGGCCGTTGGGGGCTTCTTGGGGGCCTCTTTGGCCGTCTCAGGGCGTTCCTGGCTTGTCTGACGCCGTCGGAAGCCGTCTTGGGGGCCTGCCTGGATCGTCTTGAGGCCCTCTCGGGGCATAGCAGGGGGGTTCTTAGAGGCCATCTTGGGCGTCTTGGAGGCCTCTTGGGCCGTTTTGGGGCCCTCTTGGGGCCGTCTTGGGGGCCTCTTGGGCCGTCATGGGGCCACCTTGGAGGCCTCTTGGGCGATTTTGGAGGCCTCTTGCGCCGTCTTGAGCCGTCGGAATGCCGAGAAGAAGCAAATGCCAACATCTTTCAAACACCAAAAAGCAAATCAATGATTTTTGCATGTTCGTGGCCTCCTGGAAGACCTCCTGGAAGCCTTTTGGTTCGTCTTGGAGGCCTCCTGGGTGCCTCTTGAGCCGTCTTGGGCCATCTTGAGGCCATCTTAGGCCGTCTTGGGTGCATCTTGGGCCGTCTTGGAGGCATCTTGGGGCCATCTTAGCCGTCTTGGAGGCCTTTGTGGCCGTCTCGGAGGCCTCTTCGGCCCTCTTGGGGCCGTCTTGGGGGCCTCTTGGGCCGCCATGGGGCAATTTTGGAGGCCTCGTGGGCGATCTTGGGGGCCTCTTGCGCCGTCTTGAGCCGTCGGAATGCCGAAAAGAAGCAAATACCAACATCCTTCAAAGACCGAAAGACCATCAATGACTTTGGCCTCTTCGGGCCCTCCTGGAGGACCTCTTGGAGGCCTCTTGGGCCGTCTTGGAGGCCTCTTGGGGGCCTCTTGGGCCATCTGGAGGCCGCCATCTCAGGCCGTCTTGGGTGCATCTTGGGCCGTGTTGGAAGCGTCTTGGGGTCATTTTAGCCGTCTTGTAGGCATCTTGGGCGTCTTGGAGGCCTCTTCGGCCCTCTTGGAGCCCTCTTGGGGGCATCTTGGAGGCCTTTTGGGCCGTCATGGGGCCATCTTGGAGACCTCTTGGGCGATCTTGGGGCGATCTTGAGGGCCTCTTGGGCCGTCGGAAGGTCGAAAAGGCGAAACTGCCAAAATCCTTCAAAGACAGAACGAACATCAATGATTTTGGCCTCTTCGGGCCCTCCTGGAGGACCTCTTGGAGGCCTCTTGGGTTGTGTTGGGCCGTCTTGGAGGCTTCTCGGGCGACCTTGGAGGTATCTTGGACTCTCTGGGGCCGTATGGGAGGCCGTCTTGGACCATCTTAGGCGGAATTGGAGACCATCTTGGAGGCCATCTTGGGCCAACGTGGCCATCTTGGAGGCCATCTTGAGCCGTCTTGGAGGATTTTTCCGGGATTGAGTTCTTTTTCAGGTGGCCGGCGGGACGGGCCGAAGCCCCAGGGGGAGTTCTTTTGGAAAAAGAGCCCAAACCAAAACCGAGAGGGTTTAGCACGCCAGGCACCCGTGTAATGAATCAACAGGGCGCGTCGGGTCGAAGACGCCTACGGCGAATCACCGCCGCCCCCTGCCTTTGTGGAAGCGCCTATGTGGCCGAACGTTGAGGCCAGACCTGCCAAGCTATGGGACCATGTGTTCTCCGAATCGGTTTGGAAAGCCTTCGGGGAATACGTGGGCATCTTGAAGGTCATCTTGGCCGCCTGGAGGCCATCTTGACCCTTTCGGGCCTTCTTGGAGGACGTCTTGGAGGGCTCTTGGGCCGTCTTGGAGGCCATCTTGAGCGTCTTGAAGGCCTCTTCGGCCGTCTTGGGGGCCTCTTGGGGCAGTCTTGGGCCTCTTGGGCGATCTTTGGGGGCACTAGGGCCGTCCCGGGCCGTGGGAAGGCCGACAGAAGGCAAATGCCACAATCCTTCAAAAACTGATGGGAAATCAATGATTTGGGCATTTTTCGGAGGCCCTCTTGGAGGCCTCTTGGACCGTCTAGGGCCATCTTAGTGCCATCTTCGCCCGTCTTCGTGGGCCCCTGGCCCGTCCGACGCCGTCGGAAGCCGTTGGGGGGCCCTCTCTGGGCCGACTTGGGGCCCTCTTGGAATGCTCTAGGGCCGTCTTGGAGGCCATCTTGGGCGTCTTAAAAAGCCCCTTGGGCGCTCTTTGAGGGCTCTTGGGCCGTCTCGGGCCGTCGGAAGGCCGAAACAAAGCAAATGCCAAAATCTGTCAAAACCTCCGGAAAGTCAGTGTTTTCTGCTTTTTCTGGCCTTTGGAGGCCTCTGGAGGCCTCTTGGGCCGTCTTGGACCAGCTTCGAGCCAACTTCGGCCATCTTGGTGGGCTCCTGTCGTGGGGCCATCTTGGAGGCCTCTTGGGCGATCTTGGGAGCCTCTTGGGCCGTCTTGGACCGTCGAAAAGTCGCAAAACTCAAGGAAAATCAATGATTTTGGCCTCGTCGGGCCTTCCTGGAGGACCTCTTGGAGGCCTCTTGGGGGCCTCTTCGGCCGTCTTGGGCCATCTTGTGGCCATCTAAGGCCGTCTTGGAGGCATCTCGGGGCCATCGTAGCCGTCTTGGAGGCCATCTTGGCAATGTTTGAGACATCTTGGAGTCCATCGCCATCGAGGGCGTCTTGGAGGCCCCTTGGGCCGTCTTGGGGCCCTCTTGGGGCCGTCTTGGGGCCCTCTTGGGCCGTCTTGGGGCCATCTTGGAAGCCTCTTGGGCGATCTTCGGGCGACCTTGGGGCCCCCTTGGGCCGTCTTGGGCCGTCGGAAGGCCGAAAGGGCGCAAATGCCAAAAGCATTCACAAACCTTAAGAGAATCAATGATTTTGACCTCTGCGGGCCTTCTTGGAGGCCTCTTGGGCCATCTTGGAGGCCTCTTGGGGGCCCTTAGGGCCTAAGTCCGTTTTGGGTGCATCTTGGGCCGTCTTGGAGGCACCTTGGGGCCATCTTAGCCGTCTTGGAGGCCATCTTGGCCGTCTTGGAGGCATCTTGGAGGCCATCTTGGCCGTCTTGGAGGCCATCTTGGGCCGTCTTGGGGTCCTCTTGGGCCGTCTTGGGATCCTCTTGGGGCCGTCTTGGGGGCCTCTTGGGCCGTTACGGGGCCATCTTGGAGGCCTCGTGGGCGATCTTTCGTCGATCTTGGGGGTCTCTTGGGCCGTCATGGGCCGTCGGAAAGCGGAAAAGGCGCAAATCCAAAATCATTCAAAAACTTACGGAAAATCAATGATTTTGCATCTTGGAGCCTTCCTGGAGGACCTCTTGGAGGCCTCTCTGGCCATCTTGGAGGCCTCTTGGGGGCCGTCTTGTGCCATCTTCAGGCTATCTTAGGCCGTCTAGGGTACATCTTGGGCCGTCTTGGAGGCATCTTGGGGCCACCTGAGCCGTCTTGGAGACCATCTTGGCCGTCTTGGAGGCATCTTGGCCGTCTTGGAGGCCATCTTGGGGCCGTCTGGGGCAGGAAAACCGTTTGCAACCGGGTCTTCCGGGTGGCCGGCGGGACGGGCCGGAGCCCCAGGAAGGGGTTCTTTTGGAAAAAGAACCCAAACCAAAAGCCAGATCATCCGGCACGCCAGGCACCCCTGCGATGAATCGACGGGGCGGCGGATCGAGTGACCTTCGGTCCAACTCGCCACCGTGCTTGGGCTGTGGGTCAGGAGCCTCTCTGAGGAATCTGAGTGTCTCTTGGCTGCAATCGCCATCGCGCCTGCCGTTTTCGACGTCGCCGCGACGCCGCGCCCTTCCGAGTCATCGGCTCGCGCTGCAGCGCCCGCGCGTCAGCGCGGGCTGCACGGCGCGCCGCGGTCGGGGGCGCCGCGGCCGCGTCGGTCGCGCCGGACCCGCCGGCCGCTCTGCGCGCGAGCCCGCGCGCCCCAGCGCGGCCGCGGCGACGCGCCAGCCAGCGCCAAGCAGCCATCGCAATCGCCGGCGCATGGGTCTTGCAGAGAAAGTCGCGGACTGGCTGGCGGGTGGGAAAAAGTGCACGGGCATGGGGCGCGGTCACGCGCGGAGCAGGTTCGTTCGTTTTTGCTTGTAAGCGCGAGGTAGGCCCCCCCGAGGCTGGAAGATCAGCTCGTTCACCCTGGGTGTGCGCAGTGCACATGATCCTGCCCAATCGTTCATTCTGCATGTGAAGTCATATCTTGTCAGCCACGCCTGCATCGACCCCCCACCTGCATGGCAACGAAAAAGATATCATGCGCGTTCGTTCGCTTCTCACAAGTCAGCAGTTTCCAACAAAGACTTGGACGAAGAGCACGCGCGACTTGTCGCGCGCGCATGCCGAAATCCTGCACAATCTTTTTCGATTTCGCAAGGATGTCATAATTGAGTGCCCCGAGACAACACAACAACGCGCGATATGGCAACATGGCTTGCCAAAACACGTATGCGCGCTTTTGCGCATACCGTATGTATGATTCTGTTTTCATCCGGTGCAACCACACGGGCCCCTCGCGCATTCATGCGCCGTTGCGCGCGTTTTTTTTGGGGGGGGGGGAGGGGCGCGATCCCTGTCACATCATTCCACGCGAGATACCGGCGCGCGCTGGCCAGCCGCGCGTGTCGAGATCCATCCAGATTTCATCGCCGACGCGCGGGCACCATCATCGTTCTCGGCGTGATCAGCATCGGCGCCGTCATTGGCCTTGCCGTCGTCACCAGCATCGCCGTCACCAGCATCGCTGCAATCATGACCGTGTCAGCCTGTGTCGACGTCGCCATGGCACCGCGCCCACCCGAAACACCGACTCGCACTGTCAGCGCGGCCTGCAAAACGCGCTCGGTAGTTCCCAGCGGTCAACGCCACTGCGGCCGCGTCGGTCGCGCCAGACTAGTTGGCCGCTCTGCGCGCGAGCCTCCGCGCGCGCCAGCGCGGCCGCAGTGACGCGCCAGCGAACGCCGAACAATCATCGCAATTGCCGACAGCGTCGCATGGATTTTGTAAACCAAGTTGCGGGTGGGTGGGTGGGATGATTGCGCGAGCAAAGAGTGAATTGTACTTCGATGGCTCCACACATGTTGTGTTGCACAACGCGGATAGCTGGAAACGCAGCGTTTTGGGCCCACACCGGCTAACATTTGTCCGCTTGTACTCCAAGTTGTTCGAACGATTCTTATACGGCACGTAAACAAAATGTTGTACCACTTGGTGTCTTCAACGACGCGCGCCACTTTTGCAGTGGATGTTCGTTTCCACCCCCCTCCCTCCAAATCTGAATGATCAGCTGCGGTCCGGGTTCGTCGAAACAGTTCGGTGGCACAACGTTATGTCGAGAGCTCTTGAAAAAAACCATGGCTCTTCGCCACGCGCCCAGTAATATGATCGGGGGAGACGAGGTGAAGGAACTATGCAGTACGGTTGACACTGCGCGGCAGAAGCGGTGATCAACATTTTGCCGACGCACGGTACGTCGCTTGGCGAAACGCCGCCGAGCCTTTAGGGATCCCCCGCCCGGTGCCGCGCGGGCCGTTGCTGGGGCAGCGGAAAATCGGCGTCTACCTAACATACTAATGTTATACGTGCGTCGCCCTTGGGGGCGACGCGCGCACCGAAGAATCTCATAGCAGATGCGTCGGAGCGGGCGTTTTCTGGCCACACCGCTCGGGAAACGATCTACTACAAGATGGGTGTACGATATGCTCGGGTCGGACGAGGGCGTGCAAGGAGAACATACACTACCAATTTGCGGGTGGGTGGGTGGGATGATTGCGCGAGCAATGGTGTTGAACATCTCACGTTCGGCAGGGTGAATTGCACTTCGATGGCTCTACAAATATTGCACAGCATGGATAGCTGGAAAAACAGCGTTTGGGACCCACTTGTGTCTGCATTTCCTCCGAGTTAATCGAAAGATTCCGATACGGCACATCGACAAAATGTTGCACCACCTGGTGTCTTCCAGAACGCGCGCCGCCTTTGCAGTGGATGTTCGCTTCCAACCCCCCTCCCTCCAAATCTGAATGATTGGCTGCGCGCCTCCAAAGAGAACGTATAGCACTAGCGCGTCTCTGTGCGTCCTGGAAGAGACCCCCCCGCGCGCCGGGGGGGGGGGGGGCCGCGCGACTTTAGCCGGCGCTGGCCCGCCGAGCCCGCGTACGGCCCCGCCATGCGGGCGGCGCGGCCGGCGGCGGCGGCCGAGGGCGGGGGCCACGCGGGCGAGGAACACGGGGCGGGTTCTCCGTAAAAGGGTCAACGAACAAGGAGAAGGAGGAGGAGAAGGAGAACAAAAAGCATGCTAATCATAGTAATACGGAAAGAAAGGATAATAATAACCATGATAATAAGAAAACTATGAGAAATCATACGAATAAGAATGCGAATAAGAAGAAACATACGAATAATATTACTAATAATAATAACAGTACCAATACTGCTACTAGTACTACTAATAATATAATAATAATAATAACAATGACAATAATAATAATATAGAATAATAATAATAATAATACATAGGAATAATAATAAGAATAATAAAAATAATAATAATAAGAAGAAGAAGAATAAACGGCATGAGCATAGCCTTTCGGAGGTCCTCGCAGATTTCTGGGGTCGGCATTTGACCCCCCGCCCCCCGGGGTCCGCCAGCATCCGCGGGCGAGGCGCACGGGTGCGGCTGGCCCATAGGCGGGGGCGCCAAGGTCTGAGGAGCAAGAGGTCATGATGATGATGATACGTTCCAGGAGTTCCCGGATTCCCAGGGTGTCTCGGGTCCCCGCAGGTTCCACATGGGCCGCACAAGCGAGGGGCCGCTAGGTGTTCTAGAAACCCTGAGCGCACCCTGTACGTTCCAGGAGTTCCCGGATTCCTAGGATGCCTCAGGTTCCCGCATGTTCCAAATGGGCCGCCCCAGCGAGGGCCAATAGATGTGCTGGAAGTCTTGTCCAGCGAATGCATCTATACACCACCACCGTGCCAGGTCAGGGCCATCCTGGGCCCCAGGATGGTGTAGACCCTCCTGGCCTCGGCCAGGGCTTATACACCATCCCAGGGCCCAGGATGGCCCTGGTCTGGCACGGTGGTGGTGTATAGATGCTTTCTGCGTATCTTGGAGCGTATACTGTGCGTTCCAGGAGTTCCCGGACTCCCAGGATGTCGCAGGCTCCCTCTTGTTCAACATGGGCCACACAGGCGAGGGCCGCTAGCTGTACTAGAAACCCTGGAGCGCATCCTGAGCAGATCTTATGATGAGACGGCCATGCGCAGATTTTGTAGTGACCAGGGGCTGGGCGAGTGGCAACTCGCTGCTGGGAACGACGATGCATGGCGTAATCTCACGGTGCGTTTTTGTGTCTTATTCGGTGAAGTCGCGCCTCGAGGGCTGAGGGCCCCACGTAGAGTCCTGCCCCTTGCGGGCCAATTTGACAGGACTTCCATTCCATTCCACTATGATGAGACGGTTCCCGTCCCAGAAGGTGATCGTTGCGCACGTCGTGACCAGGGCAAGAGCGGCCGCCGTTCTGCAGGTGGGCGGTGCGAGGGCGCGAAGTGTTGAGTCGGGCGTGTCCCTCTACAGGGGGATTTTCGACGAAAAATATAAGATACCCCAAAAATAATCAAAACAATAATTCTAACATAGCCTGGGGACTATCATTTGAATGATGTTTGACCTTTTTGGGGCATTTTTGTAGTATTTTTTACTTTTCGTCGAAAATCCCCCTGTAGGGGGACACGCCCGACTCAAGCGAAGTGGGGTGGCCGAGGATCTGGGGGGAGGGAGATCGGGCGTGCCCAAGGCCAAACCACATCGTTCCAGAGCGTTCAGGAGCGCGTTACCGCGCGCTCTGGAACGGCCGCGATGCCCGATGCATCCTCCAGAGCCGCTGGATCGCAGCGATCCCCAGATTATCCTGATCCGATCTTGTCCCGATCATGGCTTCGCCTTAGAAGGGTCGACGAAAAAGAACAATACTAATAATGGAATAAGCACGGTAATAATGCAAATAATAGTAGTAATCGTAGTACTACGACTTATACCATTCATCATGATAAACATAAGAACAACAGAAAAAGAGGAAGACGCGGCACGAGTATAGCGTTCCGGAGGTCCGTGCAGATGTCTGGGGCCGGCGCTGGGCCCCCCGCTTCCGGCGCGCGGAGCGCGCCCCGGGGCCCAGGGTCCGCCAGCATACGGCAGGTTCGCGCCGTGTCGACGCGGCAGCGACCCCGCCGCGGGCGCTAGAGGTGGAACGCCGCCAGCGGCCACCGAAGCAGCCAACGTGGAGCGATCTGGCGATCGAAAAGCCACCGGTCTTTCAAGGTTTAGCGACCGACCAGCCGTCGAACGGCCACTGCGCGGGAGGTGCCTGCCGGAGTCATTTGGCGGGCGCCTCCTCCCAGCCAGCGGCAGCGTGGGACGGCTGCCAGCGGCCAACAGCTGCGGGGCGCGCCGGCAGAGGGCCTCTGGGGAGGCCTGCCAGGCGTGAGCTGGTGCGGCATCGACGACGACACAGCGCCGCACGAGGGCGCGGGCTGGGCGGGGGCAGCCGCCTGGCCGCCGCTCGCGCGCGGGCGAGGCGGCCGCTGGAGCGCTACTGTAGGGCGACGAGATCTATGCATATCCACTGCTCCTGGCCAGGCCCATCCTGGGCCCAGGAGCGGTGTATATGCCTCCCTGGCCAAGCCAGGAGGGCGTATACACAGCTCTTGGGCCCAGGATTGGTCTGGCCGGGAGCAGTGGATATGTATAGATATCGTCGCCCTATACTGGGCGCCTGCGGGCACCTGGGCGACGCAACAAAGACGCTGGCGCGCACGCTGCCCGCGTGGGGTCGCCACGCCATCTCGCGCAGGACCCGCTTTGGATCGTCGCGCACCTGGGCGCTTCAGGCTGCAGTGCCCGGGTCCGCCCCGAGGGGCGCTGGCCCCCTGCGCCGTCGGCCAGGGAAAAGGCCGGGGAGAGGTGGAGGGTTTTTCCGAAGGGCTTAGGCGACCCCTCCTCCTCTTCCTCCGCCTCCTCCGCCTCCTCCTCCTCTTCCCCCCTTCCCCTCCTCCTCCTCCTCTTCCTCCTCCTCCTCCTCCTCCTCGCCAGGCTCTGGGCGGCCAGCGGCAGCCTCGGGGCCAGCGCCCGCGCAGCGCAGGCGCGCTGGCGCAGGCAGCGCGGCGGCGCCGTGCTGACGCGGCATTGGTCGAAAAAGAAAAACGCCATAAGCATGAATTTTTGGCGCTCCGCGCGGATTTCTTGGATCCGCGATGGGGCTCCCTGGCGGCGCCTCCGGCGCCGCCCCTGGCGCGCTCCGTGCGCCGGGGAGGGGCTTCCAGCGCAGATCCAAGGAATCCGCGCAGAGCGCCAAACATTGATGCTTATGGCGTTTTCTCTCCTTCTAATTGGGCGGCGCGCGCCCTCGGTTGCCACGCCGCCACCCTGTGAGTGAGGAGGAGCGGCAGGGGCCCGCAGTCACCGCGGCAGAAGCTGCAGTGAGCTTTCTACATCTTGCGGCCAGCATGCCGTTGGCAATATTAGTCGGCAGCATCGTCAATTGATGCCGCCGATGCCGGTCTCTCTCGAGCCCGTTCGACACGACCCTTTTCTCAATGCTGATATGCTGGCCAGTCGATCTAGGATGTTTGGTGAATGTTTGGGTCAACTGGCTCCAAATATGCGCGGACTTCCTTCGTCCTTGCCCTTGCTCTTGCTTGCCCTTTTTTTTTTCTCTCTCTCTCTCTCTCACTGATGTGGCTCGTAGCTTTTCTGGGCCAGACTGGCCCATCACGGAGCCCCCAGCGGGACCCTCCCCCCTGTTTTGGGCACGCAGCCGGCCGCCCTGGCCGCAGGACGCGATGTCCGCGGCGGCGGAGGCCGGCTGCCCGCGCGGCAGATATAAATTGCAGTGAGCCTGACGCACCGTGCAGCTGGCATGCCGTTGGCAAAGCGGCTCGTCAGCATCGTCGTCTGACGCCACCGTTGCCGCTCTCGGTCGAGGCCGGTCGTTTCGAGCTTTCTCTCAATCTTGAGTTGTTAGGCAATATTATTCCTTATCCCCCGCGCCCCCCCGCTCGCGTGTCGCCCGCGCCCCCTCAGCACTCACCTTTCTGGTGCTCCTCCCCTTGCCCTTCCCGATCGCCGTGCTCCCCCCCGCCCAAAGGCGCAGGACACCGTGCATTTCGAAACCTATCCTGCCGACAGCGTGGGCTGTTGTAAGAAAGTCCAAACCTGCAGAGGCGGGGCGCGGTGACGCCGCGGGTTGGCCGACGAAGCGCCCGCGGCATGGATTTCTGCCGCAGAGAAGTCAACAGAAGACTCGTGCCCCCCCCCGTCACCATGTTACCCCCCATCGCCTTGATCCTCACGCAGGGCGGACATTTCCGCAAAGGCACGCAAGAAACAACGACGACAAAGTAGAGCGGAAAACTACCTTAAGGGAGTTGTACACCTATGGCGGA